TTTATCCCGAGGGAAATTCAAAATTTGGATTGGTTAATTCGGAATGTCTTAGAAATGGCCCACATCTGTATAAAAATTGCCTGCCTTTGCACTTGCTGCCACACAGTCTATAGGGTCAGCCTGTATAGAATAGACATTGTTAAAGCCAGTGAATACAAGAAAATGTCACAACTGCTGCCTCTTCCCCCGAATGCTTTTGAACAACTTTTAAAACACAAAAAATAATCCACAAATCAAACATCAGAGAGAAAAAATACAAAAATAAGACAAGCATGAAGATCATTATCATGTCAGATAGTGAGAGGTAGAGACACCAAATAGGATGTAAACAAAACAGAAGAGGGGACAAGACGTGAAATGGCATCCAGTAGGCGTGTCAGTAATGATGTGATCTCTCAGCCGCCGCTTTCTGCACAACTGTGCTCGGCTGTGTTGTGGGCTGTGGCGGTGCGAGCCGATGTTTTATTTGGAGTGGAGCAGCCTAATGAGCAGCAGGCAGAGGTCAGGAATGTAGCGCCCACCGCTCTGCCATCTGATTACCATACCAAAACATATCTGTGTGTGTGTTTACTCATCTATCAGTTTATCTGAGTGTGTATGCACATCTCGCTCGCCCCACATTGCTGCAGGGAAATCTTGCCTCTCTTCGCATTGCAAACACACATGCACACACATACACACAGTCAGAGAGGCACGTCAGTAACGAGGAGCGAGGAATCAAAGTCAAAAGGGCCACAGCGCTGCACTCTGAGTGGTGTGAAAAGAGAGAAAAAGGGAGGAAGAGAAGGCAGTGAGGTGTGGAGGAATGGGAAAACAAAGAAGGGAAGATGGAAGGCTGGTGCAGGTGTCCTCAGACCGCCTGGGAACTTCTGACACCTTCTCTCCAAGACTGACGTCGGTGCAGCAATTAGTCCTCTCCCATGCTCTCCGCTGTCTGCCCCAACACTTTTTGTCCTGCCACACACACAAACTACACATAGGCTGTATGTCTGTGCATGCTTTAACGTGAATGCAAAGAGATAAACCTGCTCAAATGTATAATACACTGTATGTGTGTAAGGTCTGATTAAATTTTCCAGGGTGTGTTTGTGCATACACCCTATGTGTGGGTGTTCTTGTATGTGTGCATGCATCTCTCTGTTTATTCATGAACGTAAGCCCTCTGTTACTGAGTGAATGCATTAGCCTCTGCGATTGCTAATTTTATGGCAAGATAAAAAAAAAATGAAACAAAAAAATCTTACAGTTGGAACAAATGCCAACTCACGCATATTCATTAGAAGAGCTGTCACCTTTTGTCTTGCAGCATTAATTTCCTTCATTATCACATGCTTGATTTAAATCTTATCTCTGTCACGCTCTCTTTTTTATCACCATCTCCCTCACTTTCTCTGTCACTCAGGTGTTGGATATTGTACGAACCAATGTACGCTCAGCGCTGCAGCGGATCTGGAGGGAGCCGGATGTAGAGAGTCTCCACCTCTACCGGCTCTTTAACCGCATCTTCAACCGGCTGCTCTGGAGTCACGGCCAGGGCCTGTGGAACTGCTTCTCGAACACTGGGTAGGGCCAGTTTAAGCTTTGAGTTGAAGGTATAATGGCTCGGATATGTTTGGATCTAACTACCTGGTACAAAGAGTTGTTCCACCTCGTCACAATCCAAGGCATGATGGATTGGTAAAAAGAGAGTTGGGGGCACATACTTTCAGACAGATTCTCCTCAAAAGGTTTTCAATCATTCATTTCTTGGACTCTTGGACAGAAGTGTCTGTATGAAGTGTGAAAAGGAGAGCTTGAGAGATAAGTTCAAACCCTGCTTTCTTTCTCACCTCTGTACACCTGGCCAATGTGTGTTTTTTATTGGATCAGGGGTCATGTAATCTCCTTCTACGAGGGACCATACACTTAATAATAAAAATATGAAACCTTAATATCCTTAATATCTATAATAAAAGTTGGGTTCTGACTGTACAGCAATTGATGACCTAAACCAAGATCAAACAACCAACAAAGAAAATAAATAAATCAAAAAAGACATTGAAAAATTGGATCAGAAAGAACACCCCTGAATGAACTGAGATGTTCATTGAAACTAATTCTTCTAAGTCAACACAAACAGGCGATCACGCAGCGGGCCAATTACCAACGCCGCTCTTTCCACTCCATAGTTCACGCACTACACAACCTCCCCATGTCCTCAAGCCCAGTGTTCGTCAATATATCAATTTCAGTGACAGCAGGGACAATTTGCTATTTTTATTCAGTATAACCGAGGAAGCAACGGCAGCTGAATGACAGAGAATGAGTGACAGACCAACCAGACCCCGCTGCACTTTCCTGAAAGCTCTCAGGGATGAAAGAAACATGTTACTCTGTGGAGACAGGGTGCAAATTAAGGTCACAAATCTGGGCTGTTAATCAGGGCTTTTTCACAGGTGAGAGCAAGAAAAAGAGAGGAGAGAAATGGAAGCAGGAAGAAGGTGAATGAAGGCCTCTTAGTTCTTTTACTTTAGTTTGTTATCAGATACTTTGAAGTTTTGTTTTTTTTCCTCCTTTTTTTGATGCGGCACGAAGTGGCTTCCTACTAGATAGTCACTAGAGTCACTGCAGTGACAGCCCACTTGATCATGTCCCTATAGAAACCCCAAAACAAGACACACAAACGCACACACATAAAACTACTGTTGCCCATCAGTGGTTCACATTGGCTTTCTTAAACACATATTTTGCTTCCCTCAAAGAAGACAGACAAACACGGCGAGACAGCTTCACATGCGTGAAGTTTGTTTCTACACCTTTATTTCTTCACACTTAAGCACCCTCAAACAGAGCCACACATGCAGCAAAACACACACACACACACACATATATATATAACCCTGACATGCAGACAGCTGCTGATCTGGTAGCTTTTCATCTTGACTGTGATAGAGGTGTGACCTTCTTCAATCCTCTCCTCTCCATATTCTTTACAGTTCAGTTGTTCAGCGGCCGTGTTTCCCTCGACACAGAGGGCTCAGAGGGTGTAACTGAAGTCCACAGCTCTCCATTGTCCTCCTCCCTTCCTTCCTTGGCAGTGGTAATTGAGGGAGAGTGAGGAAGGGAGTGAGCGGGTGATAGAGATGAAGTGGATAGCAGAAGGAAAGAAGGGCAGGAACAGAAAAAACAGAGAAGACAGTGATTGAAAATGAGAAATTGTATTAAAAAACGGTAGAGAAAAGAGAGGGTGGAGGGGTTGAGGCCCGGGAGGATTAGCCTAGCCTAGCTTCAGCTACCCGCAGCAGGCCGCGCCACATGCAGCTTTTGTCTGATCACAACCTGCCCTGGATGATTCAGCTCGCTTGCTAGTCTATCGTCCAGCCCCTCCCTACAACAGGCCATGGCCCAAACATGGATGAACCCAACAGGGGGGCCCCCGATGTCACACGGCCATGGTGAAGCACTGCACCTCAAAAAGCACACTCCAAATGCGATTGCGTACCCCCCCGCCCCTCTGCTCCTCTGTCTCTTGTTTGATATTTTATCTAAGGGACTTAACAACAATCAAACGGCCTAGCAGCTATTGTGGGTGATGAATTCAACAGGCTTTGAAAAACGACTTAGAGGAAGAGAATAGAAACACACACAGTTTTGAACCCTTTCAGAGGAAGCACCCCCCACCTACCAAGGAGTGAAAGGGGGTAGACATCAAACGTACCCCCTGGAGTTGTGTGTCTCAGTTGTTGAAGCTCTCTCACAGTCAGGGGTATGTCCGGGGTTGTAAAGGGGGTTAACTGTACTTGGATTTGTTTCATCCTTCCTCTCTGTGTGTCTGTCTGTCTTCCTGTCTGTC